TATAGATCTCATCGGTACAGGCATCTACAGAGCCGACCAATCAGCATTCAAACGGGTATGACGGCCAGCAAATATAAAGCTGACAGGTCAGATGAGCAACAACATGTATCAATGCTCAGATAGACAGTATTTAACTCTTTATCAGCTTGTTCAGGATTTTTATATTTAATACCTTGACTTCTTATATTGATATGAATGCACTAACCAATAATGGTCGAAGTCCACTTGTAAGTGTACTATCGTTGTAATTTCAGGGTGAAGTCTGGGTGGTAAGCATGCCATCAGAATATAAGATCCTAAAATGATGATACGATAAATCCATTCCGCCCTGAGATGCTCTAGCAAAGAAACAACAACAGGGACATAGCCCTCAATAATTAAGCAAGTTGGCCATATAGACGAGTTCCAAAGCTTTGGACACTAAATTCTGAGATCAAATGCATCCCGTCTACAGCATCGGGATCCGAGATAAAGAATAAGGATAGATTTGGAGAGATGTGATCATAACAAAAATATTACACCCCAACCTGAAATATAAATATGAAGACGGATTGCAATCCTTACGACAAGGTTGCACTTATATCCGAAATGGTTGATAAAAGATCTAGGATAGAAATCTAGGACAAAGATTCAAGATAAAAATGAAGACGGGTTTGGAGAGATGTGATCCTGGCAAAGGATCACACCCCAATCTGGGATAAAGACCCAGGATAAAAATTCGGAATAAAAATGAAGATGGGTTTGGAAAGATAGTGATCCTAGCAAAGGATCACACCCCAATCCAAAATGACTCACAAATCAACATGGTGAAATTAACCGAAGTCAAAACAAAAATCCATCATTGTGCGAACCATGGTACGAAGCCGGGTTCAAGGAAATGCACATTGTATCACAAAGGCGAAAAGCCAAAAATCGGGAAAATGGAATGATGCTTCCAAACCCGAAGTGACTCTAAGTCGATGTATGTAAGTGATGATAGATAAAACCAAGCTTACAAAAGGCAGATTGAAGTGACTCTGATTAATTCATCATAACGCCTTGGAAAATGAAACTATGGCAAGAAGCTGAGTAAATATTATGAAAGCAAGGTATTGGAAGCCCGTCTAGCAATGTATGTTAACCCGGATAAGAAAGGGGTTAACAGAATGCAAGATTGTGCCTTCTAGCTGAGGCAATGGAAAATAGAGGGACGCCTTTGTGGTCCAAGTGTTGATAAATATAAGCAACACATGTGTGCAAGTTCTGATAAAAGAAATCAGGCTTGAAAATAAAGGGCAGATTGAGACGACCCTGAATAGGTCACCATGACGCCTTAATATTTTTAAGCCTAGTTAAAGAAAACCGGGTTAATAATAAAGAGCGGAATCCGCATGAAAGACCTTGGCCAGGTCGTTTTCTTCAAACGGTGCTGAAAAGCTAATTTAAATCAGTAAAGCCATAGTGCAAGAAGCCAGACTCAAAACAAAAGCCTCGGAAAGAGAAGCAAAGCTCGATGTTAAAAGGAGGCAAACATTGCCTCATTATATTTAAACGCTTTAGGTGAAAAGAAGCCAAGTTACTTGTACCGAAGTCCAAAAAAGCCAAGTCCAAATTTTGAAAGAAAATCGAAAGCGGGCTAAGAAAAGAGATGAAGATAATACCTCCATTAGTTAACGACAAAGGAGCCAGGTTTAAATAAATTGAAGATGCATCCATTAATGAAAGAAATTGAAAAGAAGCTGAGTTTAAGAGAAAAAAGGCAAAAAGCTAATTCAAATTAATGCCGCCGGTAAAAAATCGCACTAAAAGGAGTCATAATCATATGGGAAACCCATGGTGAACATCGCTAGGTTCAAAGCTTAAACATTATAACAAAACAAGTCAAATACAAAAGTGACTATAAGCAAGGAAAACTGGTTCAATGAAGATGCCAAGCCAAAGCAAGATTTTGACTCGGCCAACTTGAATAAAACATGCAAAGGAAATTAAAATGCAGAGATCACTGCTATTACACCCCGGCAACCCGAACAACCAGACTACCAGGCTAGGGGGCAATATCTCCATGAATTAAGATATCGGCAAGCTGATTAAAAAGCAAGGTCAGTCAGCCTGAGCTAGCATCTCAGCCAGAAAGGTTGAGGGAAAAATAATGAAATCGATTGAATGAATGACTGAGACAATAACTGCAATTGTTGACCCAATTACGTCGGCCAAGAAAAAAGTTCCAACCCAAAGAAAATTGTCGGAAAAAGAAGACAAGCCCGTTAAATGTGGAGAAAACCGCTATTGCACCCCGGCAGCCCAGACAACCAAGCTACCGGGCTGGGGGGCAACTGTTATGGGCCTGACAAAGGCCCGTATTTTAAAAGGTCCAATAAAGGATAACACAAAAGGAAGAAAATCTTCTATTAACGATGATCCTATCCAAACAGCTAAATAGTTGGACTTGGACCCCTAATATTCTTAAGAGGCCCAGAAGTACACTCTTGCTAAGTAACCCCTCTATAAATAAGGGGTTAAGCCAATAAAGTACACATATTCTGAAATCTCTCTCTTTTAGTTGTCACTGTGTACACACCCCACGCCTTAACCATGTCGTTATATTATAGTGCACAATGATCTGTTGATCTCTAGGGTACCTTCCCTATAGGTATCTAAGAGTAGCCACACAGATCTTATAAAAACATACCAACTATTAGGTTGAAGATCACGAATTATCAGATTGGAACAGAGATGTAGAATTAAGTCTCCACTACTCCATTGGGTTTCTTTTTTCTAATTTAAAAAGTGCTTTAACCTAGACATTCGTAATCATTGAATGAAAATTTTCGATATTATAATGAGTTGTTCATTATAAAATGTGTGCATGTATTCTTAATTACCATTTCTTCTTGATGAAGAAAAGGAGACGAACCTAATTTGTTTAAAAAAATATTTAGAACCGACAAATTAAGCTAAGGTAATCTTATAATCTATTATTCATTGTCGGCCATCTTCATCTCAAATTAGATATGATAAATGTATATACCTTAGTCTCTCACATCACAACGGTGAAATACGATACCCCGGCGTTGAGGATAACGCTTTGAGAATAAGTCAAATCTCTGAATCATTTTATATTAAGATCTGCCTAGCTAGGCAAACACCACTTCATTCCATCCCCAGTTAAATCCTGACCAGAAAATATATATTTAATACTTAATAGTAATATAATTACTCTAAAGCTCTTTTATAATTTTCCTTTTTTATATTTTCCATTGGTTCAATAATATTCGACTCATTTGATTTAAGCAGAAAAAAATTAAATGGGTGACATAAATCTCACTAGTTTTAACATAATTATATTTCCATAATCTTAAACTTAAGACTACTGATTAAATTAAAACAATCACATGTGCTCATCGTGTAATTATTGGATATGTTGAAAGCAAATCATGAGCCACTTTTTCCGTCATTGAAGTCCTCTCACGTGATTGCACGTCGAAACTGTTTAAGCGCGTGAACTTTTTCTATTTTTGATCGGAGTGTGAGTGCGTTAAGTTTAGATGTTATTGTCTTGTGGATATTCATGCGAGTTATATTGTTTATGGGCAATGATTGTCTTCTTTTATAGAAGAGAAGAAATACTTCCTACACTCACATTGAATTTTGTGTCAAATATTTTTTTATTTTTTATTTTTTAAAAAGAATGATGGCCCCACATCTTTGTTTGAGTAGGAGATAACTTATTTTTTCCTACAAAATGAGAAAAGTTTTTCTCATTGTTTATATCACCAAATAACGTGTTAGGTTGGAAAAAGAAATTCAATGTTTTGAAGAAAGGACTAAACTTGAATCTATAAAATTCAAACTTTATAGGAAGTCATTTTGATTAGTAATTAGCCGTACTAGGAAAAACATCGATTAAAGATAAAATAAAATTAGTCTAAAAGTGATATTTATTAATATTAAACTTTTACTTCTATGCAATACTTTTTGTTGTATAAAGTGTATATAATCTAAAATTTTAATGATCGAAGGAAAAAAATTATTATTACATTTTCATTCAATAAACATGTTTTGAACAATAATAATTATATATGCTATTAGGTTGAATTTAAAACACTATAGCATAAAATCTAAATTATATTTAAATTTCAAAAAAGGCGTTACTCTTAAAATATATAAGGGCTTTACTTATCATATGTTGCAGCTGATAATCAAGTTTTCTTACACATACAAACATCCATGGGTCCCATTGTTTTTTTTTTTTAAAAAAAAAGAATTCAATTTTTGATCAGTGTGCAGGAAATATTATTCTTCCTTCCCGCGGCAGAAGAATAGTATTCCAGAATATATAAATATGTAAGGCTAAAAGAAAAAGTACTGCGTATTTCCATTGTGACTTTTAAATTATCCTGTTTTTTAAAAACTCATGTATGCAAAATTGTAAGTTGTGTTAGTGCTAACCATCAAATTCTTTCTATTATTGTATGTGTTATTTTATGATTATTATTATTTCTTATCAAAATCATCACGTCTTATTTATTATCATGAGAAAATCATGTTATAAAAAAGGAAAACATAAAAGCAAAGAGATAAGACTACTACTATTAATGTAGAGAGTTTATTAATGTTGTGTTTATATTTGTATTTTCTATGTAAGTAACATAAGAGAATTTCGATATTTTTTTCCCCCACTTAAAACTGCTATTATTTGTGTAGAGTTTATTAATGTTTTGTTTATATTTATTTATTTTCCTATGTGAGTAACATAAGAGAATCTTGATATATTTTACTCTACTTAACACTGCTATTATTTACGTATAGTATATTAATGTTGTGTTTATATTTTTATTTTTTTCTATGTGTGTAACATATGAAAATCTTGATATATTTTTCTCAACTTTTTTTCTGAATTTGAATCTGGGCATTTAATTATTCTTGAGAATTTCCAAATGGGAAGAATTTCCAAACACTACAAACAAAGCCATTTTTTTATCTTTCATTTTACCTTGCGTATCAGCTAATTAATCGCATACTCACTTATAAATAGCTCACTTCCATATACAAATCACATCAACATTAAACACTCACCATATTTTCTATCCACCCTTGAGATCACTCTGCATTCACAACCACCATGGCTGAAGAGAAGCACCACCATCACCTATTTCACCATCACAAGGATGAAGAACAACCCGCCGACACTCTCGTCTACTCCGAGACCACATTTGAAGGCACGGAAACTGAAGTTGACTACAAAAAGGAAGAGAAGCACCACAAGCATATGGAGCAGCTTGGTGAACTAGGAGCAGTTGCTGCTGGTGCTTATGCTTTGGTAAGTTATACTTTATTTCCATTTTAGTTCTCAAAAGATTATTAAATTAATTTTGCCCCCTTAATTAAAACTTTTTTATATTTATATAGTCCAAAAAATTTGATTACCGTGACTGATTGAGAAAACTTGTCATCGAAAAATTATAGTTTCATTATTGATCGATCCCGAAGAATCGAGAATGTCCAACCAAAAGTTGGTAATTATATTTGAGATTAATACGCTCATGAATGTCTATGGAAGAGACACATCAAAAAATAACAGATCACTGTTTATACGGAGATGATTGAACTTTATTTCTTTCACCTTATGATTTTGTTACCATGACTTGAATCTATGATTTTATACAAGTCCCTAGTTCACCAAAACCAAATTGAGTTTGTTAATTTTTTATTTCATTTCAATTTTATGAGTTCTTTGTAATTTATCTTTTATAGTAACATTTATCAAATAAGATGATGATTTTGTTTAACCTTTTTTAACTAAAGCATGAGAAGCACAAGGCAAAGAAAGATCCAGAGAACGCCCACAGGCACAAGATACAGGAAGAGGTTGCGGCGGTAGCCGCCGTTGGAGCTGGTGGATTTGCCTTCCATGAACATCATGAGAAGAAAGAGGCCAAGGAAGAAGATGAGGAGGCTCATGGAAAGAAGCACCATCATCTCTTTGGTTGAAAAAAAAAAAAGTCATAAATTAAAGTAGACTTGAAAGAGTGTTGTTTGGGGTGTACTATAGCCCCAGTTAGCAACTACCCTAAATAAACAATTTAGTGGCTGATGATGTTTTATGTTTTTAATCCTTGTGAGGATGTCGTGTCTTTTGAGCTTTCATAATTTCACTAATAATATGATTGTATTTGGCTTTTATGTCTCTATTTATGAAATATTTATTCAAATGTCATTACTCGTATGATTGTCCAGCCCGACTAATAAGATCTAGAAAATGGGAGTGTTGATTTTCCTCAATTATTTTTATGCAAACTGATAACAGGGCCTCATGTTGGAGTGTTTCTTTGGTGCATTGGATGTATGGTGCATGTATCCCAAAAAAGAAAAAAAAAAAAAAAAGGATTTGACGGCAAATTCATGAAAAGATATGGATTAAATAGGAAGAAAATTTTCTCTTTTTTAAAATAAGATGTACCCAATTGGTACATCTAATGTAGTAAAAAAATTCCCTGATGTTGATGCCTAATTCTGACTCCTTCAGCGAGTAAAATGTTGACTTGTTGAACTAACAATAAGCTTTAATATTATCCAAAAAAAATAAAAAATAATAAGCGTCAGTGTTTGTTTAAAAGGTCTTTTTTTAAGCTTTTGTTCTTTTTATAAGTAGAAGTTAGACTAAATAAGTTTTTTTAAAAAAAAAACTCTTAAAATAAAAAGAGCTTTTTTATAATGATGAAAAAAACCAAAAGTTAAAATTTCTTAAAATGAGCTTCTTTTTTTTAAGTTGTATCAGCTTTTTTTAAAATGAATAACTTTTAAGTAATTTTTAAGCTAAAAATTTTATATAATTATCAAACGACTTGTAGATTTACTTTTAAAGCTCTTTTTTTTTAGCTTTAACTTAAAAATAACTTTTAACTTAAAAAAGAGAAGTGACAAAAATGCTCATAAGTTCTGCTTTTCAGAAACTTGACTTAAAATCAATAGAGAAATACTAATTGAATTATTGAATGCCTCCACTTGTACCCATACTAGATTGTTTGCTTATAATGTTACTGTCTACTCTATTTACTTTTGTTAACACCCAAAACATTATGTTCAATTTAAATAGTTTATTTGTCTAGCTAAACTCCGTATCAGCCCAAATCAAAAAACTTAAATAGCTTACAAATGGCAAAATCTGTAGTGGTTATGCCCTGCTGATTTATGGATATTGGGCACAAAAATGAGGTTGGTTCCTAGTTTATTTTGTTTGGTCCAAATAGTTATTTATCGAAAGACAAGTTGGCTGTATAAAATAAAACACAATCCCGATAGATCCATTGCTCGTTATAAAGCTCGCCTCGTTGCTAAGGGCTATAATCAAATGAAAAGTGTTAATTATTTTGAGACATTTTCTCCCGTTGTTAAACTCACAACTATTCGCTTATTACTTATGGTGGTAGTGGCTAGAGATTAGATCATTGAGCAGGTGGATATCAACAATGCCTTTTTACAGGGAGATTTATCTGAGGTCTATATGACAATTCCTAAAGGGGTTGCTTCTGATAATCCACGTCAAGTCTGCAAGCTCCAGAAGTCTTTATACAGCCTCAAGCAGGCTAGCTGTCAGCGAAATGCAAGACATACACTGGAACTTCAACGGCTTGGTTACACTCAATCCAGTGAAGGTCACTCTCTCTTCACTAAGGTTACTACTGATTCTTTCATCTGTCTTCTTGTTTATGTGGACGACATGGTACTCGCAGGGAATGATGCTGGAGAAAGTAAGATGGTGAAATGCTACTTAGATTACATGTTTCGTATCAAGGATCTTGGTCCTCTTCATTTCTTTCTCGGAATGGAGATTGCACGATCTAAGCATGGTTTAGTGATAAACAAGAGAAAATGTTTTAGAACTACTTTATGAGAGTGGCTTACTCGGTGCCAAGCCTGCATCCATATCCATGGAACCTTTTTGCGTTTGAAACAAGCTCAAGGTGATCCCTTTGAGGATCCTACTACTTATAGTCGTTTAGTTGGGCGCCTATTGTATTTGACAAATACCAGACTAGACATCAACTTTGTTGTGCAACAGCTCAGCCAATTCGTATCAAATCCCATGAAAGATCATCATGTTGCGGCTTGCAGAGTATTGCGTTACGTGAAGGCTGCACCAGCCAAGGGTCCCTTATTTTCTGCAAAGAATTCGCTCATGTTATCAGCGTTTACGGATGCAGACTGGGCAACATGTCCAGACACTCGCAAAACATGTTATTGTGTTTCCCTTGGTTATAATCTTATTTCATAAAAGTCAAAGAAGCAAAGAACGGTCTCTAGTTCGTCTGCAGAGGCAGAATATCAAGATTTGGCTACTATGGCGTGTGAATTACAATGATTGTCTTTCTTCTTAAATGACCTTCAGGTTCCTCTTACTAATCCTGCAAACGTATACTGTGGCAACCAGGCAACAATTCACCTTGCACACAACCCTTCTTTCCATGAACGATGCAAGCATATTGAGCTTGATTGACATGTGACTAGGGAAAAGATAGTTGCAGGCCTACTTCGTCTGCTACCTGTTTCCACCGCTCAATAGCTTGCTGATACATTTACTAAGGCCTTTCATCCTGCTTGCTTCCATGATTTTATGTCCAAGTTGGGGTTGCACAACATTCACCTTCCAACTTGAGGGGGGTTATTATAGAGGGAAATTGACCAAACTGACACCCCTTTAATAAAATTTTACTGGTATGCCACGCTCCAATAGGAATTTTCCAAAATGCCACGTCACAATCATGCTAAACCACCAAGCGAGATTGGAACGTGACACGTGGCTGGCTACCAGGGTGCCCCATTCCCGCTGATCAAACAAGCGAGAATGGGTTGTCAATCACACAGTCTGCAAATTCTGAAAAGGTGTCCACGTGGCCATTCTTGCTGGGCTACCCAGCGAGATTGGTTGTACTTGCAGACACGTGGCAGCTCCCTGCAATTCGCGGTGGGTAGCTGACCAAGTATGGTGTGTACTTTACTGACACATGTCAGCACCCCCTATTCGCGCTAGGCTACTAGGCTTGATTTGTTTAGATTAGCCCATGTGTCAGCAGTCTCGCTGGGCAGCCTACCAAGATTGATTGTTTTATATATAGTAACAAAACATCCACATTCCAACAACCAGAAGGGGGGAAATAGTCGATAAGCCAAAATTGCTAATTCATGTTAGATTCTGTAACATTTTATTTCTCTTGTAATTTTATGTTATTAGTTTAAAAATGAGTGACAATAATGATTCAACAATTGCTCTGTTACATTACAATGGGAGAAAATATTTTGGTCCAAATGGCTAATTTTTCGAAGGAGAAATGAAAATATTTCGTATGAGCCCGCGGTGTAGTTTTAATGAACTGAAGAAGACAATATATCAGAAGCTGAGATTACAACGAGGGCAAGTTCTATCTCGGTTGACTGCTAGATGTGCCTCGGGACCTGAAAGTTGGGTTCCTGTAGAGATTGTTGACGATGAAGATGTCGCTTTAGTGGTAGATGCATTTCGAAATCATCCACACTCCATATTTATTGAACTATATACGAAAGTAAACTTCGGTGGACAGTGTAGCAGTCAACATTTTCTCCCTTCCACTCACTATATCGACATTAATATGGAGCCGGTTGTGAGTCCTTAACATTCCCTCCTTTCAATTCATGCAATCGACATTAACATGGAACCAGTTGTGAGTCTTGAAGACAGAAATGTGTCACCCCAACCACCCATTCTCAAATCAATGTGTTGAGAATATGACATTGCTCACGATATGTATGATCCGGCATGGCGTACTGACAGTTCTGACGAAGAGGTGGACGAAGGCTTAGTCCCGGGCAGTGACTCCTCGGACACCGACGTGGATGGAGATTTTGATTCATGTCCGTCCGCCACTGTATGTTATGCGGTTCCTTCTCTGGGCATTGTTGGAACGCACGAGCTCAGAGTGGCAGGTGAATAGGTCAAAAAAATTACTGCTTATATTTTAAGTTTTATACATACCAGATGTTGATTCGTATACATTAATGTGTGCTGATACAGGTGAAGAACAGACACCATTTTGGTCTCAAATAAGTCACTATACGCATATTAATTGGGCTCGCCTAGATTAAGAGTTTCAAGTAATAGATGGAGCACAAGTAGGGGTGTAAATAGGCTAGGTCAGGCTAGACTTTGACTTAAATAGGCCAATTCTGTGTAAAATACATTGGGTCTGGCCTAGTCTGTTAGCCTGTGTAAGCCTCAATTTACAAGTCTGGCCTGACCTATATTTAAAAAATAAAAGCCTAGGCTTAAGCCTATTAGCATGTTTAAGCCTATTAAATATTCAACAATTAAAAAATAACTAAAATAATATTACTTTATTATTCAAATTTATTAAAATAATAATTTTATTTATTTTATTTAAAATAAATAATATGATATAGGTCGGCCTGCAGATTTATAGGCCCGATATGTACAAAAAAGCCTATGGCCTATTTTCTAAATAAGTTTTTTTAAAAGTCTAGGCCTGTTCTATTTTACTGTTTGTAACAGGCTAAGCCTGGCCTAATATAGGCTAGGTCGTAGGCCCTTGTTTGCCGGCCTAGCCCATTTACACCCCTAAGCACAAGTACCCAACTGGCAGATGGGTCATGAGCTGTATAAAGACCAGGTGTTTGACAACAAGCACGATGTTCAGATGGCGATCAAAAATTTTTGTATGGGGCAGCACCACACCGCTATTGTATGTAAAAGTGATACGAAAAGATTAATCATGGTTTGCAAAAATCACAACAATGGTTGTCCGTGGAGGGTAAGGGCACACTTTAAAAAAGGAGGGACTGAATGGATTATCGGCAAGTGGGTTAACGAACATAACTATGTTAACCAGACTCTTTCTCAAGATCACAAGCAGATGGATTCTGATTTCATATGTTCAATGATTCTAGGTATGTATAACTATAGCAATCTGCGATATTATACAACCAAGTTATTATAAACTAATTGTACATACACATGCAGACATGATAAGGGAGGAGCCAAATGTGAAAATTTCACTCATCCAAGAAAGGATAACAACAAATCATGGGTTACATATATCATACAGGAAGGCCTGGAAGGAAAAGCAAAAACAATTGTCAACATTTATGGGGATTGGGATGAATCATACGGTTTTCTACCGAGGTGGTTGG